TTCTTTCTTTCTTTCTTTCTTTCTTTCTTTCTTTCTTTCCCTTCTTATCAATATTCATCCTTTTCTTTTTTTGCTGCTGGTAAATTTCCCTCTTTATGGAAAGTTTATAGTCATTTCTTATATCCAACCTGAAGCTAGCTAACACAAAACATTTTCTTGCGTTTCTCTTTTTTTATATATATAAAACTATTGTATTGGTAATTTTGCAGTTTTTAAAATAAAGAATCGTAGAATGACAATAAGAGAGCATCTAAAACAGACCAGCGTCTACATAAAAAATTTTACGCAATATTTCTTTAATGAAACGAATAGATTGATTACGATTGCGCAATAGTTTCCCCCGGAACCTTGACTCGGGTTGTTTTGTACTAATCACTCAACCAGAACATCGAAAATTGACTATTAGGAGAAAGAGTGGAATGATTCTCCTAAGTTTGTTTTTGAGTGGCCAAACCTAGCTGTGTTAGGCCCTGGCTAAACGAGGAAACATATTTCCATGGCAAAACTGTCAGGGAACATCGGGAAACATGATTACTCAATATCGCTTAGCACATGCGCACTTTCAAGATAGAGCTAGCGTTGCTAAGCAACGAACTTTTAGAATGTTGACTTTCGTGGCTAAACGAGGAAACATTGGGAAACCGTTGTTTCCATGCGTCTTGGAAGCATGAAAAGTGTCTGCCGCACAGCAAAAACATTTTTGCGTGTTTTTGGAAGCTCAATTTGTTTCGCGTAGCAATGTTTTGCATGTGGCTAAATTTGGAATCATCGGCGAACATAAGCGTGGGAAACATGTTTCTGGAAACTTGTTTCCTCGTTTAGCCAGGGCCTTATACACGAGGAGACAAGGAACAAAATCCAAAATTTCTTCAAAGTTCACATTTTCGTTGAGGGTCATAAAGAGGRTCATGGCCTGAAGAAAAGGGATTGCGTGAGAGTGGACAAGAAGTAATTTATTTATCAAGTCTCTAAATATATATATCATTTAGCCTATATCAATAAATACGTCTTTCCTAATTCTGATAATAGGACCAGGGTTTATAAACTTCATCAAATTATTCCTTCACATCCACTCTTTCTACCTATCCCGCGGCACTCCATCCATCCATTCCCCCATCCACCCACTCACAACTGAAGAACTCCTAGATAGGAAACCAGATCTCTCTTGGCTAAAACATGCATCCTGCTGCGCTCAAATAGGGCCAGAGAGAAATAATGTAAAATTGTTTTAATTAATAATTTTTTGTGTGTGTTATATTCAAAAATGAAGAAGATGGTTGGCTGAAATTTACTTGAGCCAGCAACGGCCGGTCGACCCGCYGACCAAAACTCGCGCCATTTTGAATACCACACAATTTAATGTAAAAGCCTTTGGGTTGCAAGGAGATTGGTGAAATAAATGTTT